GACGAAAATCGGATGCAGTGTGAATCTAGCAATACCATTCCGTCCTAGCGGCGCGTTTTATGCCACTTGCTCTTCCGCCGTGAGATTCGTAGCCTTGTAAAGCCCATGGCACATACAAAAACGTAAGGCCGTAAGACATAATCAGTAAGCGAATTGGCCAATCACGATAGAGACCGTAAGGCCAGTAGCGAATCCAATCTTACGATTTCTTTACTGTTTACGTATTACGGCCTTACGTTTTTGTGCCATGGGTTTTAGGCTGCGTCTACTGTGGCAACGTAAAGTCGTCACATTGCGCCAAAACTCCCATGACTGTATCGCATATTCGACTTTGAAAAATCCCATGACGTGATTTGGCCGTATTGCCTCCGGAGACTTTTGGGAGGCAGGAGCCATTAATTAAGAAGAAGAAGAAGAAGATCGGTGGGGACGGTAGGCCGTCCTGCCGGCAGCAGTACATGAGTAGGCTTGTCGGACGCTTGTATTTGCCTATCTTTAAACGTTAATATCTCGTTAAATATTGTGTCAACTGCAAAATGGTACAAAACTATTTTGTTTCCCTTGATCCAATCTACGTCCCCATTGTGTTTCGATCCGTTTTTTTTTTTGAGACACCTTGTATATTAGTTTGTGTTGTCTCTGAAGAAGGCTCAAAAGTGAGCCGAAACATGTAATCATGTTTAGTAGAATAAAAAAGTTTTATGCTTTATAGGTGTATTATTTGCGCGACGTCTTCTACGCCTGACTCCTATTGCTCTTATTCTTTCCAATTTCTTTTGATTTATAAGGAGTCTTTGTTAGTTTGATTTGTTATACGGATTTATTAACAATCAATATAGAAGAATCAATATAGATACAACATTAATAAAACATTGACACTTCGACATTCAACATTGCAACATCTTAGCAACATTCTTTCAATGTTCTATACTGTATGGAGATGAGGCACCCTAAATTTTCGACATTTATGGACTAACTTGTATTTTAATTAAGTTAAATTTTAAAGGCTGTTAAAACTTTAACTTAACTTAGTTAAAAAAAAAGTTAACTTATCCAATTCTGTGTAAAACAATAAGAATGGGTGGCTGTAATGTTTTGCTAAAATAAAAATCAATCGTATCTTTTTAAGAATACTTCATTTCATTAATACTGCAAAAGACATGTATATATATATATATTTTATATACATATGTATATATATAAAAAATATATATATATACAGGGTGTTAGTTAAGTATGTTGCCATACTCAACAGAGCGATTCTTTGGTTTATTTCAAGTAAAAAAGTCCATATAAACATGTGTCCTAAACGGCTTAGTTTCTGAAATAAAAAAATTTAAACATGTAGTAATAATCTGTTTATTTGAAAGAAATACAGCTTGAACTAGTCAAAAACAGAAAAAAAAACAAAAAAAACAGGCTTCAGTTTTTCTGATGAAATAAAACAATTAGGTGAATTATTGAAAATGTCTACCTTGCGATTTTGATGGACTGAAACAATATGGCCCGAAAACGTATGTACAAGCTAACTACTGGACCGCAGCAACATCAGAACTGAAGTCTATTTTTTATTTTGTGACTTTGACTTTGTCACTTTGTTTACGGTTGTGCGAATGGTAACTCACATGAAGCAAGGCATCTTTATGCAGGAAGATATCTCCAACGCAATTTACCATTTCGTCAAACATTTGCGAACATTCGTCTGTATTTCGGAAACTAAGCCGTTTAGAACACATGTTTATATGGACTTTTTTTTACTTAAAATAAACCGAAGAATCGCTCTGTTGAGTATGGCAACATACTTAACTAACACCTTGTATATATGTATATTATCTTTATACTACAGTTTATGGAAATAAATCGATGAAATAATTAAAATCTATCAAATTAATAGAGACTCCATCTTATTTTAAGACCGCCTTAAGCAATGTCTTAAAATGCTAATACGGCTCTCTGATTGACTTATGACATCTTAAGACAATCTCAAATATAAGAATCAAATACTATGAATATCGGTTAATGATTTTATTTATGTGTCACAAAAAGTGGGCGTAGTACGTAATTCCTGAAAATGGATATTGATTTATGCATTATGCGTTATAATGTACATAAGAAAATTATCCAATCAAAGTCCTTCATTTTCTTTCTTTCCGTGAAATAAGAGATTCAGATTGATTGATTTTATTTTGCTTTATGCACTATGCATTATACGAAAGTCTGTGCTCTGGCCTGTAGTTTGTTAACACGCACGATATATACAGTAAATAAACACAAAAACATTATCATTTGAAATTTATAATTACAATCAGATGAATCTGATTTCATTGCTACTATGTATAATAATTTAGACATAATATGAGAAACTATCTCCTACAAAACTCAATCTGTAAGAAATATTTTTATAATATACTTTTCATCTTTCACTTTATTTCTTTATCCATTTAAGATAATCCATACAGAATTCATAAATTACAAGATAGTCTTAAAATATATTCTGTATTTTTATGGATTTCTGTAGCATTCTTAACAACATAATACTTATAAATTTAACTCTCTTCCTGCTCCCTCATTATATATATGTAAAATGAAAATATCATACGAATGAATTATGATACATTTTCATTTTTCATACATGTTATTAGAGTAGAACTTCTATACACAAGATATGGAAACGCTTACTATACGGTAAATAACACGTCAAGTATTTCCACATACTATGTACAGCAGCTATAAGACTAGACGTTCAAGGAAAAATTAAAATGAGAAAAATTATTAAGAATATGAAGATTTAACTGCAGATAATCTAAGCTTATAGTAGCGCAAAGAATGTCTAACAATTTTATAATTGCTTGTATTTTTGAATAATTGAAACATTATTATATCATTTTCAACCTACTGAGGGCACACACGACAAGTATGAGTGTAGCAGCATTGTATGGAGTTTATAACAGAGAATTACTGAATTTCACAGATTAGGTAACGTATCCACTTCACCCATTTCTGTAAATGTTTCATCGTCCATTGTGTAGCTTAACATACACTTCAAAGATACAGGCTCCTGAAAGAAATAATTATTTTCCACATAAAAAGAAACATTAAGATAAACTCTTAAAAAATCAATATCTCCTTTGCACTGTTTTCTCATTACTTCACATTTACTACATACATATGCGTTAAGTAAAAACGTCTTTTTTATAAATTATAACTAAAATGACATTTTCATTGTATGCATGCACATATATGTAGAGGAAAGGCCCCTATTATATGAGATACTGAGTTTATTTTGGGTAAATGCTAGACGTCTATGAGCAGAATTTAAAAAAATAATAGGTCATTTTGAAGGAAATTTAATAAGCTTTAAGATAATGTTATGTAAAATTTAATTCAAATTCTATTTTTTTTTTAAATTAAAGAAATGTAAAAAGTGAGCAAATCGCAAAGTCAAAAAATTGTATTCCAAATATGAGATGCCTAGAGAAATCGATAGTATAACGCAAAGTACATCAGTATTGCAATTAAAAAATTTCATTTAATCAATAAATCAAAAAATAAAAGAAAGGCCATGAGCCAATTAAAATTTAACGAATATTTAATATTCGTACAAACGTTTCGACGCCGACCGGGTCATTTTCAATGTAAAAACAAATAATATTACATAAGTTGTCGAATTGTTCGGTCAGATTACAATAGTATCCAGTGAAACGTATCGATTGTTTCTGTATTCCCTATTTTTTTATGTGTGTGGTAAAATTAGCATCATTTGACTGATATAAAAGTGATCTCATCTTATTTTTAAATCTACAATCTTACAAATAAAATTATCAAAAACTGTTCACATCAACAGAAAAATAAAAATAATAAACTGACATTGCAATATAATTGATACAAATATTAATACTTAAAAGTCAAACAGATTGATATATGAAACGTCCGTTACAATTAAAATTAAATTATATAATCAAGTACGTATATGTTATAATAATTTAGTACCAATTGAGTTACATACATATATATACCTTGATTTGTCGCAACGATGTGAGTCAAACGTCGAGAGAAAAACGCAAAATTAACTAAGTCGTACACAGTAAGCAAAAGTAAGCAATAATACGGTATATTGGAGAGAACATGTATCTTCGACGATGTTAGACGACGTTATGATAAAAAGAAAACAAGAAAACAAAGAAAAGACAATAAATGGAAGGGGACAGAGATTGTATAATATTAAGATATGATTCTGGCAGAGAATTTGTGTCATTTTGTTTGTTTATTCCATGTTTTTGTCTTTTAATGTGAATCATCTCCGATATTAGTCTATTATTATAAGAAGCTTCTATGTCTAAAATTTCAATGTTATCCCAGTCAAAATTATGATTCTGATCAATGCGGTGATTAGTAATCACCGTTAGAGATTTTAACTTCTTATTGATATCGGAGACATGTTCGTGTAATCTTGTCTTTAATTGTCTTTTTGTCTGACCTACGTAACTAACATCGCAATCATCACAAGAGATCTTATAGACAACGTTTTTGATTGCATAAAGGATCCAATTGGTCTTTGCCCTTTCTTATAAAATTCTTTAGTGAATTTGAGATAGAGAAAGCTAATTTACAATAAAACCTGTTAGCAATTGGAGTAAATTTTTCAGATACCGAATTCACATAAGATATTGTGAAAAATTTTTCCTTGATTTTTTTTGTTAACAGTTCTATTATTAGAGTCAATGTGGAACTTTATTCTTTTTTGTATTGAAGAAAAAACTAATTTCAGTGGATAAC